CTTGTCTTTGTTCTTCCGTATGTCAGAGATCTGCTGCTTGCTGATGCCAAATTCTTGAGCTAAATTTGTTCCTTTCTCTCCTTTATCCAAACGTGAAATTATTATCTGCTTATCTTTAATTGATAGAACGGGTCACTTTCGCTTCATAGACATGTTTTTGATTTGTGTTTACGATCACTCGCTCGTGTGTTTACATAACCCATGCGGAAGGAACTAATCAAGCATGAAATTCCCTTGGTAACAAAACAATTGAGCCAATCAGATATCAGCTGAACGCGTCAGAATATTTCTTTGTCTTGTCGCAATTGCAAATTTTGAAAAGCGCACAGGATAATACGCTGATTCAACAGTCTTTTGAAAGGATTATTGGGCTTTTTGCAACTTGGAGTTTTCAAGATCACAACTAATTAATATTCACGAAAAAATTGAGACCAGAGAAAAAAGTCCGGATAATGGAATAGTCCGGATAATCGAGGTTTGACATTCCTGTGTTTGAGAGTCCTGCAGAACCTGTTATTGATGGCTCTCAGATTCCTCCTGCAGCCAGCTGTGGATCCAGTGTCAGGCAACATGGTTGAGCAATTTCCACCAGTACTCATCAAGAAAACCTGGCTGCCAAGGATGGCATAAAAAGAAATGTCCAACTTGCCATGGCCACTTCCTTACTGATGAAATTGCAGTACATGCAGATTTACGTGCAGAAAATGCCTACAGATTTTCATTTTTGGGGCTAATGGAAACCCCACCATCAGATGACATTCCAGGTGAATATGTAGCTACTTTGACTGAAACATGCACCAATACTGCAAGCAATGCTTTGCCTCTCTCTGATCTCCTTAGCCCTTTGGTGGACAAGCGTGAATCGCAGTTAAGAATAAACATAAGGGGTCAGCTGTTTCTTGATTATGTATAGGCTAGGAAAAGATGCCAGTGGATAAAACCAGAAAACAGACTTAAAGTTATTTTTGTTGGAGAGCCAGCAGAACACAGTGGGGGACCCAGAAGAGAGTTCTTCGTGGGTCAGTTCTTCTATGGCTTCCATAACTTGAAAACCAATTTAATTTACATCAATATAAAGTGTTCACTGCAACACAAAAGGTCAGCCATTGATTTAAACCGTGGCTGTATCTAAGCTGCTTTCTAATAAATAGTTGAAACTTGAAATAGTTGAGTCTTTCTTAAAGTGAACTCATTTCTGCTCATTCTAAACAGTTTGCATAGGAATGATGTGATATGTAGTACATTGTATACAGCGGTTATTGCCATGTGTGCATGCTCATTAAAGTATTCTCTTGTGTCCGCCAGTGTGTGTTCTTCCTCTCCAAAAACATAACATGATGTTATGTCAAAGACACTCAGTTAATCTAGAAGGAGAATAACACGACTTCGTGTAATGTGTTAGTATAAGTAACACCTAAAAAAACATATCATTTAGTAATTATGAGGCCATTTCTTTTCTGGAGTATCCATGTTATCAAGTGTGTTCACTAATAGATCACAAATGGCAATGATTGCCAATGTTTTCAGAGGTTCTCAAAGAAATAAAAGGAAGATTGTTTGCTACTAGTGTTCTAACAGCTTCAACAGCTGAGCAAAAAGCATGGAGCAAAAATCTGGAATGAGCTGAGTGATGATTTGAAAAGTTTACCTTCTGTGAAAGCTTTTAAGGGACACTTGACCAAACATATTTTAAATGTTAATAATGTAAATTCTTAATATTCAATTTTAAACTTTGTAAATTTTTAAATCTTTAATACTGTAATTAATTTTAGACTCCTTTCCCAGTTTGTTTATTCATTTTAACTGATGTATTTTTATCTTTTTTATTCCTTTTGTAACTGAAAAGCCCCTTTGGGGAGTTGCAAATAAAGTATGTATGTATGTATGTAACGGCTGCATTGGCTGAAAACGAATTCCTGTATGCAGGAAACCTTATGGCTGCCTCTATCCTGCAGGATGGTACAGCACCTTGTTTCCTTAAAAAGTTGGTTTATGACTACAGGATCATGGGACTCAGTGAAGAACTTGATCTCAGTATCTGTGACATTAAAGCATCAGAGATGAAAAAGTTTGTGGAAAAGGTACATCTACCTAAAAATCAAGTGCGACTATGTTGTGAAAAGATTGAGGGGATGAAATTTTCAAAATTTGTCTTCCATGGTTTTTCAATTGTATTATTCTTTAGAGTTACACTGATATCATCATATAACTAGGGGCTACTCTAAAATCAAGAATGCTTAGCTTAATATTTAATATGTTTAAGTAAAATGACCATTCGTTCCTATAAATAAATAATATTAATAATAATTGTAATGATAATAATAATAATACAAATTATCTTGCATACTTCTTCATGCCTATAACTTGGAAAGGTGTTTCAGTTAACTACAACCCTGGCCAAAAGTCCTTGGGATACTTGACAAAATAAACTGAAAGGATTGGAGTAAACACTTCCAGTTAACATAGAAATGATATTTTATTGTACACAGCTGTTGCAGTGTGAGAGAGACGAAGATGTGCAAGAGCTGCTGTGTTGTGATCAAGGCCTTGATGTCTTAAACAGCATTTGCTTTAGAGGTGTACCTCAAAATGCACTGCACAAAGCAGAGAAAAAATTGAGGTAATCTAATGCATGTCTGTTTTGTCCATATAAAGCTTAATGTTGTATGTTTCATCAGATGTGATATTTCACCATGTACCAACTTACAGTTGCCAAAAAGTTATTACTTTTTCCTATGTAGAGCCATCATGATTGGAAATGTTGTACAGGGGAGATTGCCTATGGTATCACAGCTAATGGAAGGCCTTGCACCCTGTGGAATCCTTGCAGCAATACAGGCAAACCCTGAAGTAATGCGGCTAATCTTCTGCATGAGTCACACTGGAGAGAAGCTGGATGAGGACAGATTCATCAACCTGTTTAAAGTCAACTTTAGTCAAGAGCAGCAAAAAAAGGCCAAGGAAACTGATGCCTACGAAGTCTTTAGTGACTATGTTGGTATGGTTGCCCATGGAGGTAAATGAACCTGAGAGTAATTGAGGGGCTTGACTTTTTGTGCCAAAAGCATTACTATGTATATATCACATAACATGTTACGTGAAAAAAATGTTCACTGGCCAGTACTACTCAAGCAAAAAAGGAATGGTTCTAATGTCTTATGCAACCAAAGTCATCTTCACTTACTCTAGGTGCAGATATACAGGAATTACCTTGAACTTACATATTCATCCCTGTAACTAAAAAGGTTCAGGGATGACATTTTAATTTTTTTTCAGGGGTGCCAGGTATTGAACTGACTGAAATCATGCAATTTATCACTAGGTCACCTGCAGTTCCTGTCATTGGTTTTGAAGAGAAATTACAGCGGACATTTGTGCACGGTTTTGTCTCCAACTGCAAATGCTTCCCAACAGCTTCAACATGTGATTTGTTACTTCGCATACCAGTGCATTTAGTAGCCATAGAGGATTTCAAAACTTCATTTCAAGGGGGGGGGGACTTTGAAGGATGGATTTGTCTTTGGAGATGTTTAAATGTCATATTTTCCCTACTTCATGTAGATCATAATCGGAAATCCTTTTAGCTGTTCATTTGTTCAATGAATTTTGTTGGGTTTATGATGTCAGGCTTTCTGCCACTGCCACTCCAAAAAGGTGGCCAAGGGCTTCAACCTAAAGTATACCCAAAACATTGTTTGAAGAAAAAATACAGCTAAGATTTATTTTTGCTGTAAGTTATTTCAGTTTACAAGACTAGCTAATTTTAAATTTAACAAGTAGGACAATCTTGCTAGTGTTCAGTAGCTTTTTGATATTTACAAGCCTTTTTTGTTGACATGGTTTGTGGAAACTCAAGGATAGATTTATCAGAAATGAAGGTATAAATGATTCTAGACTCTGATCAAACTCAAAATAATCAATTGTAAAATAATGGGTAGCACTGAGAGCTTGTAATTACCATAGAAATAACTACATTATACATAACTGATACTTATTAATAAAGAACTGTTCCAAGACATCATGTATACCAATGTCAATTGAACAGTCCATACCGTATTCAAAATAACATTCCATCATTTTTCAACATAATTGAAATATTATTCAACAATACCAGTATTTTTAAACAGTTCAGTTAATCTTTATAGTTTAAACAGCTATAAACTGAACTAATTGGTCTGTTTGAGAAAAAAATACTATAGTTTAAACTTCAGGGTTGGCCTAATATTTAGAGGGAATTATACGCATGCTGCATGTGCTATGCATCAAACTTTCTACACTTTGCCTTGCAATCACATATGGTAAAATTTATGAATATAGCAAATATGCTACTTTGTTCTGTGGGATCAGAAGCCTACTTTTCGTTTCTTTAAAATCAGATACAAGTTCTTGGGTTCCTCGTTTATACCGGTATTTATTAATAATATATATGAATATATGAACCAACTGCCAAAAGCATTCTTAATTCCATTCTTACAGATAGGACAAATAATCACACCCTGGCAAATGTATTATGATGGTAATTTTCAAACAGGCCTTTAGGGACTGGTCAAAAGGTAAGAAGTGTGTGTATGTGGAGGGGGGTGGGGAGGTGAGCTGGAGCATGTGAAAATGTGGTGGATAAAAAATATGTGACCACCATGGGTAGCTAAAATTGAACAGCCTACCCCTTACAAAAGGCTCAAAAACTGATGACCCACCCCGTATCTTATCTGCCCGCCCCCAGTACCATTTCACTAGTCCCTTAGGGTGAGGTAAAATAAGCAGTTAGGACTCTGCAAGCTGCATTATTTTCTCATACATGTCCTTGGCTTGCCTCCAATCCTCTGGTGGATGTGTAAGGCCTTCTTCTCTCATGACATACTTAAAATACCCCAGTAGCTCATCATCAACTTCCTTGGCGAGTTCTGCTTGGACATAAATGTCTCTTTGGTTAAGTATGTTGTCTATGTCGTCTGCTGATACTTCAGATCCACAATCTTCAAATCCACAAGTGTGAGGCAAATAGCAAAGTTCATCAGGAATACCAGAAACTGTATCACGCCTGGACTGTCTTATGTGACACATCTTCCATTCGTGTTTCACTTTCTCCAGTTCCAGTTGAAGGAAGTCAAAAAACACAAACCAGACACATTCCACTTGCAAGTAGTTTCCTAGAGAAAGCTCTCTCTCAGTCCCCAGTGCCTTGAAAAAGTCTATAACCCATGCAGTGAATCCCCTTTTACTATGTGACCACCAGTTTTCAACTCTCTGATTGGCATGTGACAATGAGTAACGATGTGCCGCCACTTTGCCGGCCAATATGCCATTTTCCATTGCACAGTCTTTTTGCACCAGTATTAGCCGCATTCCATTTTCTTCAACTGCATGGAGGAAGAAACCTGCTGGAGTAACTGGATCATTGTTGCTTTTACATACTTTGAGCCACACAATTCTCCTAGAAAATCCATTGATACAGCCATGTATTGGTAAGCCATATGGTTTTAACTTGTCATAACCATCTACATGCCAAATTGTGTTTGGTCCCGGTGAGATATATAATTGGCGTTGCAGCTTCCTAGCCTTTCGAAGGGCGGATAAAATTCGCATGACCATGTCTTGAGGAACAGCAACATTGTAGCTTGTTGTTAACTTGTTCTACATTCCACGATATCCAAGAAGTGATGAAGGGCCCTCAATTTCATGTTTAACTATATCTCAAACAGTATGCTCTGAATGACCATGATTTCTTCTTCTTAACCCATATTGATGAAGCTTTCTTTTCAGTCCTTACGTTCATATAGATCTCATGGTACTCGCCCAGAAAGTGGACAATGGTACCGTACCTAAATCCCCTTTAAAAGTAATGTTCTATTACCAGCCTCCCATCTGCAGAATTGCAGACTTTCCTGTTGACGTCTCTTTATTGTTCCACACTGCCGACAGAATACTTCATTGCTCTAAAACTCTCTGCCACATTGGAACTTCGTGTTATAAACAATTACAGACTCTACCCGCACTCGCTCCTCCACCATTTTGGATACAGCAAAATGGCGGGAACAAACTCTAATGTTGGCTGACTGCTGGAGCAAGTAACATGTGACACAATATTTTACTGGATTTGCAAAATATTTTTCTGGATTTAGCAACAATTGTTTACATTCAAACACAGACGACCAGAGTTTGGGAATAAATTCGGAGCTTTATTGTTACACTGAGATCAAGAGACGAAATAAAACTCCGACAC